ATTGTCAAGTAACTTCAAACATTTCTGTACCTGCCCTTTCTTTACTTGAAATTCTGTGTCTTAAAATCAAACTCTTTTCTATTTTTTGTAATGAGAAAAACAAATTGAATTCTTAATATGGAACTAGAAAACATTTGAGTTATGCATGCACGTAATAATAGTCATACCTGGAACTGACTGCAGTTTGCTGATAATGAAGAACTCCAATCTGAATGGAGGGAGGCAAAGATGAACAATAAGAAGAAACTTGTGTCTTTTCTTAAGGAGAAAACAGGTTATGTTGTCAGCCCAGACGCACTGTTTGATGTGCAGGTTTGTTTTACCTTATCTGTTTACATTCAGAACTTGCCTGAACATTTTTAAGGGGAAATTATATATATTAGGCTTGGGGAATAATTAAATATAAAAGAAAAAACCTTATTTACACATTACTCATGTGGGCATGTTCATTATAAGTTTCATTTCAGAGATTTCTTGAAATATCTAACCTAAGAATGGAAAAATACTAACATGATCTTTAGATAAAGCGTATCCACGAATACAAGCGGCAGTTGCTGAATATCCTGGGAATCGTATATCGTTACAAGAAGATGAAAGAAATGAGTCCTGATGAGAGGAAACATAAGTTCGTGCCCAGAGTTTGCGTATTTGGAGGGAAAGCATTTGCCACGTACATCCAAGCTAAGAGAATCGTGAAATTTATTACAGATGTTGGAGCCACAATAAATCATGATCCTGAGATAGGTGACCTTCTCAAGGTATGTTGTGAGAATGGTTCCATAGGGCATAACAAATGTATATACTCTTGCCTACTTATGGTTAAAAAACCATTGTGTTTGAAATAAAAACTCACGGGACTGGAACTTCAGGTCATATGTGTATCGATAACATCTGTTCAGATAACATTACTACTTGTGTTTTAATTCTTTTTGCATTTTCAGGTTGTCTTTGTCCCAGATTACAATGTCAGTGTTGCAGAAGTGCTTATTCCTGGGAGTGAGTTGTCTCAACATATCAGGTTTTCTGTTCTTAGCACATGGCCCTTTTATTTTCTCCATTAAGAGGGTGTTTGTTTGAGCTTATATAAAGATCATGTACGTTTATGTATCTTTTATGAATCACTATAAAATGATAAAAATAAACGCTAATATTAACTTTGAAATAAATTACTTGAAGAAAAAAATTTGCTATAAATTTTTTTATAAGTGTATAACTTCCATAAACTTTTACTGTGAATTTATAATTTGTTTATATTAGTAGTAATTATTATATGATAAATAAGTTAAAAAAATATTATAACAATTAACTAATGCAAAATATAATGGTTAGTTTTCATAATTAAATAAAAAAATAAAAAAAAAAACAGCAGAAAAATGCCATTAACTGTTTGCCTCTCTTTATATATATTGGTAATAAATCCTATGCATATGCAGATGTGAAAATAAAATATTATAAGTAATACCTATGAATATTATATTTATAATTATAAATTATATAATTTGCATATCACATTTTATACATTTGATCTTAGTAAAAATGAACAATATAGGTATAAAAATTATTTTACTTTTCTATAAATATTTTTATAAGTGTATAACTTCCACAAACTTTTAGTATTATAATTAATTATTATTTGTAGTAATATGATAAATATGTTAAAAATATTATTACACTTAATTAATGCACAATGTAACAATCAATTTCCATAATTAAATGAAAAAAAGTGGGGGAAAATGCCATGAATTCATTTCCTTTCAATATATATAGAGATAGCGATATAGATTTTATAATTTGTAACATTTAAGAGAGTTGGCACTCTGTTAAGCTTATCTCTTTCTCCCTCTCTCTCTCTCTCTCTGGATTAGTACTGCTGGAATGGAGGCAAGTGGTACCAGCAACATGAAATTCGCAATGAATGGCTGCCTACTAGTAGGAACCTTAGATGGTGCTAATGTAGAAATCAGGGAAGAAGTTGGAGAAGACAACTTTTTTCTCTTTGGTGCACGTGCCGATGAAATCACTGGCCTTCGCAAAGAAAGAGCAGAGGGACAGGTAATATGTTGCTTTCAAACATCTTCTTCCTTAAAAGAAAATCAAAATGCGCTTTAATCACTTCAGGGTGCATTTCGATCTAATTTTAAGTATTTGGTTTGTAGTTTGTGCCTGACCCAAGATTTGAAGAAGTAAAAGCATTTGTGAGAGGTGGTGTGTTTGGACCGTACAATTATGACGAGCTTATGGGATCCTTGGAAGGAAATGAAGGCTATGGCCGAGCAGATTATTTTCTTGTTGGCAAGGACTTTCCTAGCTACATAGAGTGCCAACAGAAAGTGGATGAGGCTTATAGGGATCAAAAGGTATGTAATTCTAACCTGGATTAATTTCTTGATTCTCCTTGTTCTCATCATTTTTTGGTTAAAAATTGGATAATGGCGAAAATCGCTCATGAGATCATCATTTTTACTAAAACTTTATATTTTTCAAAATCAAAATAATCGATTGAAGATGTTAAAATTTCTCGACATTTGATATGTGAGAAAATAGTATTGACTGCTGTATTGTATGCAGAATTGGACGAAGATGTCGATTTTAAACACGGCAGGTTCTTTCAAGTTTAGCAGCGACCGGACAATCCATCAATATGCCAGAGATATATGGATGATTGAGCCTGTGATTTTGCCATGAAACAATATTGTAGCTTAAATTATAATATAAAATAAAAATGTGAATCCCCATTTGTAGAAGGTAGTCGAATATGATGGTAGTTAAGCTTGTTTGAAGCATTATGAAGCTTCAAGTTGCACTTGAGTTAGGTTTCCCAATCATGCTGAATGGGCTTGGTGTTGCAAGTGGTCTGGCAGCGTTAATTCACGCAGTATATATTCGATATATGTTCCATCAAAAAATTATATCTTCCTCTTTTTTTTTTCGTTTATACATAAATGTATATATATAGTTTAAAAATATATTATAATAAATTAATTAATATAAAACCATACATATACACAAAAACAACAACAACAAAATTCAGTTTATGCTAAATATAAATTGATTTTATACATAAAGAGCATGTTTGTTTAGAGGGATCGGATTAGATAAATTTTATCTAGCTATTCAAGATTGGGGTGTAGAGATATTTTTATACTTATGTTTGTTATGCTTGATTTACTCAAGATAAGATTATTTCATAATATGTTTTATGTGTTTGTTTACATGAACAAAAATTAGGATTAGATAAACATTTACAATTTTACCCCCAATGCTAAAATATATTATTTGTTCCTTCATGCCGTACAAAAGTTGGGTAGCAATGAAATATCTCTGCAACTTCACTCACCATCTTGTTGACAGAGGACCATCATGGTGAACCAAGGAACAATACCAATAGGAGCTTGTTGGTTGTTTTTTCCATAGCAGAAAGAATAGTGAGGGGCCTCTCTCCAGCCTCATGGGCATGATTTTTCATTAACATAAAAANATGCATTTGATGTTGCCCTTTCATATAAAAAATTTCATTCCATCAACTCCTTCATTGGCACCTAGATCCACCACTGCGCTCTCAACCCCACCAGAATTTCATGCCCCACCAGTGCCGACCGCCTCATGGGCACACAAGGACCTCTTTACCCTCCCCAATTTCGGATCTCCGCCGAGTATCGCCCCCACGGCCGCCGCCGGACGCCGCCGCTAGTGCACAGGCCGCATTTGGTTTTCTGCGACGGCGGGGAGATGTGCTTCGTGGTGAGTTTTGTTGACAGAGTATTTGATCGGTTGTGAATTTGTGCCACTCATTTAAACGGTTCCAGCTTCTGCCTCCATCTTCTTCTGCGCCTGCGTTGCGGCTGCGGTGGTGAGCATCCCAATTGTTCCACCAATGAGGTGGGTTTCTGATTTTAGGTTAATGGCAAACAGAGTAATTTTTATTTTGACCTAGGTTATAATGGTCAACAATATTTGCTTTTGAGGCTAAGTTTGTAAATTCCGTCATTTACTACTGTTGAGACAAAACTTATCTTACCTCTGGGCCATGATCAAATAATCGCGGAATTCCATGATAAAAGTACTGTGCATCGCGGGCTTCATCATATCTCGCGGGCCGGTATCTTGGAAAACAAACATCAGATAAATGGTAGATTGGTGGCCTAATCTCATCCAATCGGGGCAAACAAACGCGCTCAAAAATTATGTCTCGCGATAATTTTTTTTATCATATACCGAAAATATACTGAATATAAACTATACATATATAAAAAAAAATAAAAAATCAATTTATGCTTTGTCAAATTCGTTTACTAACAAAAATATCTTTTAATATACCCAACATAAACATAAATAAAACATTGAAAACAAAAAAAAAAACAAATATCCATTCACAAACTAATTGTACATAACTAAGACAATAACATTACATAACTAAGATTTACATATATTGTACGTATACTCTTTTTTCTTTTTATTTTTTTCTTTTTCCTCCTCTCTTTTTTCCCATTTATGTGAGATAGATCATCTGGTTGATAAAAAAATTTACATATATTGTACGTATACTCTTTTTTCTTTTTATTTTTTTTCCTTTTCCTCCTCTCTTTTTTCCCATTTATGTGAGATAGATCATCTGGTTGATAAAAGCCCCCAGCACCGAATATTCAAGCCCTGAAACAATGAAAACCTAATAATCATGACCATTATGGAATTCCACTAAGCCATAGACTAGTGAAAACCAAATTTGTCCTCCCCACAACAAGTGATATATTGGGAGAATCTGCAACAAACCTATTTAAGCAAAAGGAAGCAATCTGAAGAGCAAATTGGATCTGCTAAGCAAAGGGAACACGTTTGTGCGTATTATCATCTTTTACATGATAAAGAAGAGAGAGATAGGGCCGTGTGTGTGAAGCAGCGCGCACTGTTTTGAGTGAAGAAGAGAGAGATAGGGCGTGCGTGAAGAATAGAGAGAGGGGAGAGGAGAGAGATGCAGATGGAAAGTTACCATGTAAAAAAAGGAATTGGAAGTTATCATATAAATAGGAAATCAACTTTTTATACATATATGTAAATAAATATAACAAATTTAATTAATTTGTAAATAATTATATAAGATATGTAATTATGTAATATTTTCAAATTGTTTAACTGTAATTTCCTCTAAAACTATCCATTAAACTAAACTAATCTTTTTTCCAATAATAGCGAGCCCACGTTCCAGAAAAAGCTGCTCGCGGAACTTTCTCTCTCTAAACGTCCATGACTAATCCAGGCTCCGCTGCTCAACATCCGTGACCAACTCAAATTCCATTCTGTATACGACGCACCCTAACTTACGGTGAGACGAAAGAAAATGAAAAATGAAATCTAATTTATACATTTTCTTTGTCTTCGCTGTCGTCCATTTTCGTGATAATGCTGATTCTGTTGTTGTAATGCGCTGTGGATCTGATCTTAATTTGAGATCCGCGTGCTGTTTGTGTTGTCCGTGATTTTCATTTTCTCTTTGTGACGTCGTTTTTGTTGGTTTTTCTGTTGGTGGCGTGAATGCAGTGGTTGTTAACTTGTTCTTAATTCGGAGGCTCTGGTTTGTCGTGTTTGGCAGAGTGCATTATATGCTTGAGATTTTTGTGGATAGTGGATTCAGCTTTCATATCGCGGAGTTTTTGGCGGTTAATTTGGCTTTAGTTATGCAGTTACTGCATGAAAGTGTGAGTAGGCTTTGAAGGGGAGGTTTTCGTGATCTGAAATCGCTAGAGCTTTAGATTGGATTCTCGTGCCGTAAATCTGGTGTTTGACCAAGTATTATGTGATATAACCGAGAAGTTTCTGGTGTTGGAGTTTACCATTTTTCCTCTCTTTAATGGCACCTGAGATGGTTCGGGGGCTTAAACATATTATGGGGATAGATAATATTTGGTGACTCTTCATAGTTTTCGAAGTTGTTAGAGACTAATGTTGGAGCAATAGCCAAAGGGCAAACGGGTGCTTCGTAGGCATTTAATATTTGGGAACATCAAAGTAATTGGACATGAGAAGTTCTTGGCACAACAAGTTATTACTTATCTTTGGACCTAGACCGCCTCTCAACTGGGTGCTTGTGTGTCTAGTTAGTGTTTTAGTTCTCATCGTGTTGTTGGGATCTTCTTCTCCTAATGCATTTGATTCTATTACTGCCTCCACAAGACCCAACTACTATTCTAATTACAGAAAGTTGAAACAGCAAGTTTTCAGTGATTATTTGGAGTTGAAAAAACTAGGAGCCGATCCTTCAAAAAATTTTGATCTTTGTGCAAAAGAGAGAGAGAATTATGTTCCTTGCTACAACGTGTCTGCTAATCTTCTAGCTGGTTTTAAAGATGGGGAGGAGTTTGATCGACATTGTGAATTATCACAAAATCAACAGTATTGTCTGGTTCGTCCCCCGAAAGATTATAGGATTCCTTTGACTTGGCCAAGTGGTAGGGATGTCATTTGGAGTGGAAATGTAAAACTGAGCAAAAATCAATTCCTTTCATCTGGGAGCATGACGAAAAGGTAGTTAGTTTTGATTGTAATTGGATTATATAGAGTTCAGATTTCAGATGCACGTGATTATCAATTAAATCCATTGTTAAGGAGAAAAGCTAAGTTCAACTTTTACAGGCTAATGTTGCTGGAAGAGAATCAAATATCTTTTCACTCGGACGATGATGAGATGATTGTTGATGGTGTCAAAGATTATTCTCACCAAATTGCTGAGTTGATAGGACTGGGAAGTGATGCCGAGTTTCATCAAGCCGGTGTAAGTATATTTACAATGCATAATGTTATCTTTCTTCCTAACTCCTGAATTGATTTTTTTTAAAATAATTCTGATTAGAATTGTCCAGCTGATAATTGTTGGTTTAAGTTTGTTTCTCACTTGGAACTTGTGTATATACATCTTTTAACGTGGAAGGTCATTGATTATGTGTTGATTCTTCAGTACGTAAAACTTTCCATTTTCTGTTGAATTACAGGTGCGCAGTGTTCTAGATATTGGCTGTGGATTTGGCAGCTTTGGTGCTCATTTGCTTTCACTTAAGCTGATGGCTCTATGCATGGCATCATATGAAACAATTGGTAGCCAAGTTCAGCTTTCCCTTGAGAGAGGTCTCCCAGCGATCATTGGTAGTTTCATCTCAAAGCAACTACCATTTCCTTCCTTATCATATGACATGGTTCACTGCACTCAGTGTGGCATTGTCTGGAATGACAAAGGTACTTACATTGGTTGGTGTTAGATCTTTCCTCCCTTATGTTGTGTTTATTATGGGATGCTTGTATTGTTTAGATGACCCTACTATGTTTCTTGCATTTAGAATATGGAAATTGTCGTATATATCATTTATAGTTTCTTAGCATCATTCTTTGATTCTTTCAGCCAGAACAATGTAAACCCTATCTTGGGACAAATCTAATCACATGATTGCTGTACTGTGGCTAATTTGGGACTATTCAAAATGGCTTTTGTACAGTTTTAGGGACATTAGACTGAAGTTATGAGGGGAATCCTCTCCTTTTAAATCATTCCACTATTCAATCATTGTGATAAGTCATGTATGATGTATGTATTTGGATAAGAATATAGTTCATCATTCTTTGCTCGCTAAAATAGTTGAAGGCCCAAAATTATCAGAATAGGTATTGCTTTATTGTAATCTATCTATACATTCTTTCTTTCTTTGTTTTTCACTTTTCTTTGTTTTTTTAGATTACGACGGAGATCATGGTAACTAGGAAAGGGTAGATTATGCTTAATTCTTTGAGTTAGTTTTGACACCAGAAAGTTATGGGTGGGCTTAGTGATGCATTTTTCTTTCAGATGGGATTCTTCTTATTGAAGTTGACAGAGTACTCAAACCTGGAGGGTACTTTGTTGTGACCTCACCCAAAAGCCGGGAGCAAGGAAGCATTTCAACTACTCTAGGAGACTACCCCCAAAAACTTTGTTGGAATCTTGTGGGACAGCAAGAGGAGACTTTGATCTGGCAAAAAACCACAGATGCCCAGTGTATTTCTAGGTGAGATTAGTTAATCCTTCCCTGATTTGTTCATGTTCCCTCTCAATCCCGTCCCTTTCTTGAAGCTTACTCTTACTCTGTTTCTTTTTTCATAACCATCCCTGTGAAATGTACTTACTCCTGTGTTCATATTTATAACCACTAGTATAGACAAATAAAAATTTATATATTATATACACATATACAATATTTTAAATTTTAAATTAGATAATGGATGTATTACATTTTAAAATTTTTTACTATAAACAAATGTACAATATAAATATAAATTATTTAACTTGCATGTGAATCTTTATATTGATGACATAAATTTTAATGAACAATGTAATTTTGTAATTTAGAGGGACCATACGATTAATTAGTTAGAAAAGTATTACAACTATTTTTAGTGTTGTTATAGTAATTACTTATGTAATTGTAAGGAGTTTAATTATAACACTCATGTCAATTAACTAATATTAGAGAAAAACCGCTGAATAAGACGAAAAATAATATTTATTATAGAATAAGTATCCTAATAAAAAAAATTGCAATACAATTTTTTATAAGTATGTAACTTTCACATGCAATTTAATGTGCCTTTGAAGCCTAGTTCCCATTTCCTTTTTTAGTTTACTTCATCCCAACCAACGAACCGAAGCAAAGTTCAGTCATAGAAGTTCCTATTCACTTCACTTACTTAATGTCCATGTCCGAGATTGAATTAGAATAGGAAGTTGTTTCAGAAGGAACGAACAAATTTATAATTAGCTGGTATTAGTAGTAATTATTACATAATAAATTAGTTTAAACTATTACTACACTTCATTAATATGTAATGTAACAGTTTCACATTAATTGAAAAAACGAGAGGTTTTTTGGGCGGGAAAAAGAAGAGAGGTTTTATTAAATGTTTTATTTATGGATTAGCCAACAATTATATATATATATATAGATTACCTCCCTAATATGCTGTCAATGTTTGTTATAGTAAGCACGGCACCTTCCCTCTTTGTAATGGAGAGGACTTCCAATCGTACTACAAACCGCTCGCTCGGTGCATAAGTGGGACTACCAGCAGGCGTTGGATTCCAATTCAGAACAGATCTTCCGGTTCTTTGGACTCTGCTGAGTTTGCAGTCCATGGTATGTCATTCTTTTATAAAGTTGTATGACTCTGTCATTGGTATATTGGTTTATCTGGAGCACATCACAACATGGGAACAAATCCCTGACATATTATCTATTCTATCTATCTATACTAATATAAAAGGATGAGTGATTTTGTAAAAAATTGCAGACTAAAAAATCCTTGTATTTAATATTGCTTTAATACAAAATTGTAATCATATACAATTAAGTATTTGTAACTTGGTGTATATATATAATCTCCTTCCAAACCCGTAGCTGATGCAGCTTTTACTCCTCAATATGACAAGATATTTTTGTTCAACATACTTAAATAAAAGCACTAATTTTAACAATTGTGTACGTATTTGTATGAAAAATATATTTTACTTTTCGAATAATGTTCTCTTTGGTAATAACTCAATAGACATGGCCACTATTTGTTAATTGAATTCATTGAATTAGTTCTGTTTATAAACATAATATTATTACCTTTCATGATGCTCATATGTTTATAAAGGAGAAGCAAACTACCCTTCGGTGTATAGAAGTCTAATGTCTTATTGTAGACTTTCAACTCGATACGTTCATGCATGGTTCACACTAAAAAGTTCAACTTTTTCCATAAATAATATTTTCAAAAATGTATGTTCACCTTAGATTCAACAGCCGGCAAACAAAATGATAGATGATAACAAAATTCATAAAGTTTGTAACCCTTAAATGCCAAAATATTGGTTTGGTAGGCAAAATGCAAAAAGTTGCATACATCAGTGGATTAAATGTATTTTTTCTAAATATTTTACCATATATGTTTGAAAATATAAGTTAGGTAGGTAAAGTAACAAAATTGAATAGTTTAACCCTGATTTGTCAAAAATGTAATAGTAGTAGACAAAAATAATAAAGAACAAAAAAGTGGAAAGAAATAAAAAGAAAAAAACTAGATTGGCCAATTTATTTTCTTGGTTTGGAACTAACTAAGATTGACGTTCAATTTTGAAGAAAATTAAGGGGTAACAAAGTTAGATGTTGCCAAAGCCATTATGAGATGAGGAAATGACTGAAAATTCGATCGCTACAATTATGTTAGGTGAGCGAACGACACATTTATTTTTAAAAATATCACTTAATATGAATATGAAGGAATTAAATGCAGTATGTCTGACCAAAATGTATTGATCTACTGAGTTCCTACGCACGATATGATTAATAATATGATATGGAGCATAGATGACAGACTAATGGGCAATCAAGAACATTAATTTTTAATGAATAATATTAATGGTAAATGAAAAAGATTTTGGTGAAATAGTGGTCCTTTTTGTATGTATTTCCTACAAATTTTACCAGTTGTCTCAAAGGCCACGATATAACAGACTGTTTCTGCAAGTGCAAGTATGGTCTAGATTGTGGCCGTAATGGGGAAAAAAAAAAAACTGTCAAGGGACAAGAGGTCAAGAAATAACCCTATCTTCAGTTGGAACTTAGAGTTGGAAATCGTGGTCAACCCACCAACACAGAACCAACCGACACAGAAGGTAATATAGGAGTTTCAGAAGAGATGCTCGTTGATTATGACCCTAGGGATAACTCCATAGAACAAGGTATGAACTTTATATCTCCAAATTTGGAGCAAAATGTAAAGTCTGCTAAATACATTACAGGTTGTGCAATAGTAATAACTAATAATGAACATGTGTGGATAGATTGAATTGTAAGTCTTTATAAATAATTCCTAAAAAGGAATTGTTCAATATCCGCAACTAAAGGAATTCTTCAATATCCGCAACTAATATATTATGCAGAAAATAATATGATAAAAGTATATTTATTATCCACATGTACAAATTGGTCCTACATGTCGTAGAAGTAAACAAAAACGTAGCTATAAAACTATTAGAGTATTACTCGATGGTGGACGTTGGATATCTTATTATTGAGGACATTAGATCAGTTGTAAAGTTGATAAATATATTTTAATTCGAAATTCATGTGTATCTTCCAGGACCTATTAATAAATCTCTTTTTTCATGTGTGTGTGTGTGTGAATATGTATGCATATTGTTTAGGGAAATTTATGGAGAAGTAGAGTGTAAGTACTATAGACGATTGAGATAGAAAATATTGGTTGAGTTTCAACATTTTATTCTGTCAATCATAAATCGTACAATCCAAGAGGAGATTGAATATGATGATTGAGACAATTACAGGTTACAACCTATGCACCATTAACAATATAATATGTCTTGTGTTCGGCCAACCTAACCATTAGGACGTCATACTCTTTTTACAAAATATGCGTAGTTACATTAGAAAATACCATACTGTAATAACCATAAAGTGAAGTATAACAAAGTATGATATTTGATAGTATAAGTGTGCTGTTTGATTATGGAGTATGACTAGTCGACCCGCCTAATGGTTAGACTACCTCACCTAAGAATTTGTGTACCATTAATTACTTTGACCAACCCAAATGATCATAAATACGGTTCATCACAACATGACGAAAACAACAGAAAGCGAATAAAAGATGAATATAATAGTGTTATTGCAATCGAAGATCACGAGACAATCAGTATTCTTAAAAAGAAATGCGTGAGGAATAAGTCAAAAGAGAATAATTTATCCAATCATCAATATAAAGAAACAAAAGAATTAACGTATTTATAATCTTCATTAGGATCTTGATTAGTTCTTTTACTTAGAACTTAATTATATCATAATGTTTAAATTTAAATTAAGACCTCATTATGTTATATGTTTTATTCCATTCCTGCAGTTACACTTTTCTTAGGTTTTGATTTTATATTTTAAATTACTATAATTTCAAATGGAATGAATATAAGTGATACAAATGTTTCACCACGTGCGACACTTGCACTTTAGTAGTCTTTGCAAAAGAATTAGTTACATTCAATTTGAATACAGGAATTAATTCTGAAGATTTCGCTGAAGACATGGAGTTCTGGAGATCTTCTCTGAGAAATTATTGGTCATTGCTTTCTCCTTTGATCTTTTCTGACCATCCAAAGAGGCCTGGTGATGAAGATCCGATGCCTCCATACAATATGGTTCGGAATGTGATGGACATGAATGCACATTACGGAGGTTTGAATGCTGCCCTTCTGGAAGCTAGAAAGTCGGTGTGGGTGATGAATGTTGTGCCCGTAGGTGACCATAATACCCTTCCTGTCATTCTTGATCAAGGCTTTGCTGGTGTCTTGCATAACTGGTAAGATGGTTTTTCTGGTCGGGTCAAACCGGACTTCGTTTTTTTGATACAGTTTTCGTACATGATGCGAGTATTTTTTAATAATTATTATTATTATTATTTGTACTTAATTAACCAAACCCAGGGAAAAAAAGGGTCTTATCACAACTTAACTGAATTGAACTGAATGTGCAGCAACATGTGCATACGGTATAAAACGACAAAAACAGTAGCTAACTTGCTCATCGTTGTTAGTGGAATGTTGTACAAAATAATAAAAACAATACATTATTTTACTTGCCTTTGGTGCATCAAATTAAACAACAAAACAGCAGCTAAAATGTGCTCGTTGTTAGGGGATTATGTTATATAACATAACAAAAACATTAGCTTATTGTGCTTCCTGTTGTTAGTGAATCAAATTGTTGTGTGTTACACACCTTTTGTGAATTTTAACTCACTTCTACTTTACAATCAATACTTCCTCCTGAAGTTGAAGTTTTCCTGTCGAGAAAATTGCAAATTTGATCCCAAAACTTTTACTGTTTCCCACATTTGGTCCCAAGCACGCCAATTGTGGTACTTTTTGAATTTTCGTTGCCAAAATGGTCTCATGTCCGTCAAGATTGACGGGGTGAGGACGTTAGATTGGACTTTACAATTTTTGGGACCAATTTTGCATTTTTTTTTTAAAAAAAAATGAGTTCTTCAAGTTCTTCAAGTCTCTCTCACTCACTCAAAGCTAAAATGACATAATAAAATTAATTTACTATGAATATGATGCAAGAAATAAATATTAAAAATAATTTTATGAAAATAAATATCGGGTGAAAAAGTAAGGGCGTTGATAAATTTTAATTTGAGGTGGAAAAGTAAACGATATAATTGTTAATTGAGTGGTATTTATTTTATTTTCTAATATTTTTACCGTCATTACTTACAAAATATTGGCAATTATTTGAATATTATTTAAATTAAAGAATAATTAGAAATAATATTATTTTAATTAAATAAAACAAACCAAAAGACATAATCCAATTTATCAAAATAAGAAAAAATGTTAGTATGCTTACAATAATACTAATCCGTCTACACTTTTAAATATTAGTATAATGTGATAATTTATATATATATCCTTACAAACTTTATAAAATAATATGAATTAAAAAAAAATCCCAATCTAAACTATTTTTTTATGAATTAAAAAAAAAACCCAATCTAAACTATTTTTTTATTACTGTCTATTTTTTTTAAATAATTTTTATTTATTAATTTGATTTTGACAACTACAAATTGAAAAATCTATTTATTTATGCAAATTACATCTACATAAAAAATTTCAATTTTAAGCATAATAAAACAAAATTTGGTATTAAATTAAGAAAAAATAGACATTTGCTCCCACTTATTTATAGTAAAATAAAGAAAATTGCAAATTTGGTCCCAAAACTTTTGCTGTTTCCCACATTTGGTCCAAGGCACGCCAATTATGGTCCTTTTTGAATTTTTGTTGCCAAAATGGCCCCACTCCGTCAAGACTTAACAATCAACGTTTATAGCCTGAGACCAAATGTGGGAAACAGCAAAAGTTCTGGGATTAAATTTGCAATTTTCTCAAAGAGTAAGTGATAAAAATTATTTAAATTTATTTTTATTAGAAACTTTTTTTTTAAAAAGTTTTTAGTAATGTTAAAAAGGTATATTACCATTCTTTTCTAACAATACATTTAGTTTATTTTTTAGTAAATTATAAAAGATAATTATAACTAACATACAATTCTTTCACATTTTTTATTGTAAATTAAAGTTTAACTTGATATTTTTACATAAAATGATTATTTAATTGGGTAACTTAACAAAAGGTGTATAAATTAATTTTATTATTTAGTTCATGATAAATGAGATGCAAAAAAAAAAAATATGATATTTTTTCCTATAAATATGTGAGAGCAAATGTTTATTTTCACTTAATTTAATGCCAAATTTTGTTTTATTATGCTTAAAATTGAAATTTTTTATGTAGATGTAATTTGCATAAATAAATAGATTTTTCAATTTATAATTGTCAAAATCAAATTAATAAATAAAAAATATTAAAATAAAAATAGATAGTTATAAAAAAATAGTTTAGATTGGGATTTTTTTAATTCGTATTATTTTATAAAGCTTGTAAGTATATATATAATTATCACATTATACTAATGTTTAAAAGTGTAGACGGATTAGTATTATTGTAAGCATATTCACATTTTTTCTTATTTTGATAAATTTGATTATGCCTTTTGGTTTGCTTTATTTAATTAAAATAATATTATTTCTAATTATTCTTTAATTTAAATAATATTCAAATAATGCCAATACTTTTTAAGTAATGACGGTAAAAATATTAGAAAATAAAATAAATATTATTCAATTAGCAATTATATCGTTTACTTTTCCACTCCAAATTAAAATTTATCAACGCCCTTACTTTTCCAATCGATATTTATTTTTATAAAATTATTTTTAATTTTTCGCATCATATTCATAGTAAATTAATTTTATTATGTCATTTTGGCTTTGAGTGAATGAGAGAGACTTGAAGAACTCATTTTTTTTTTTTTTGGTCCAATCTAACATTCTCACATGAGCCCGTCAATCTTGACGGACGTGGGACCATTTTGGCAACGAAAATTAAAAAAAGACCATAATTGGCGTGTCTGGGACCAAATGTGGGAAACAGCAAAAGTTTTGGGACCAAATTTGCAATTTTCTCTAGTAAAATATATCATATTTTTTTTTGCATCTCATTTATCATGAACTAATTAATAAAATTATTTTATACACCTTTGGTTAAGTTACCCAATTAAATAATCATTTTATGTAAAAAAAAATCAAGTTAAACTTTAATTTACAAGAAAAAAATGTGAAAGAATTGAATGTTAGTTATATTTATCTTTTATAATTTATTAAAAAATAAACTAAATGTATTGTTAGGAAAGAATGGTAGTATACCTTTTTAACATTTACTAAAAACTTTTTAAAAAAATGTTTCAATAAAAATAAATTTAAATAATTTTTATCATTTACTCTTTGAGAAAATTACAAATTTGGTCCCAGAACTTTTGTTGTTTCTCACATTTGGTCCCACGCTATAAACGTTGATTGTTAAATCTTGACTGAGTGGGACCATTTTGGCAACGAAAATTCAAAAAAGACCATAATTGGCGTGCCTGGGACCAAATGTAGGAAACAACAAAAGTTTTGGGACCAAACTTGCAATTTTCTCTTTTCCTGTCAATTAAAATATCTTTATCTGGAGTTGACAGCGCTCAATACGATTGATCTTTATTGGGTATAATGTCATCTCTTTATATTGGAGATGCTAAATGCAATGTCTTTTCCCCTCTACTCAGGTGCGAAGCTTTCCCTACATACCCCCGGACATACGACATGCTTTATGCAAAGGGACTTCTAACACACCTTGCTTCCGAAAAATGCAGTACCATTGATTTGATTTTCGAGATGGATCGTATTCTTCGGCCTGAGGTAATGTTTAAGAAACAGTTCTATAAATTTGCTTTAGGTGTTGATTATAAAATTGACCAAACTGCCCTAATTTACAACATAAATCGAAGAGGAGTAAAAAAATAGATTGTCATTTACAAATGCCCCCGTGACTTGGTCTCTGTGTAATTTAAGGTCAGTTTTTGCAAGTTGCTACACTTGTAAGAAGTAGTATATCATTCTGAAGGATTGTTAAAAAGTTTCCCTCTTGTCCTTTTAAGTAATTGGACTCAACATATGTCTAAATGATTTCCTTTATTTGCAATTTTGATACAGAATTGATATGTTTGAGAATGGCTTGTTAACAGGGATGGGTTATCATATCCGATAAGGTTGGTCCCATTGAAATAGCACGTACGCTCGTTACACAGCTCAGGTGGGAAGTCCGGATGATCGATCTTCAGAATGGCAGTGACCAGCGTTTGCTAGTTTGCCAAAAACCTTTTGTGAGAAAATGATATTCCTTCTTACAGGAAAACTCTGCCATCTCTTGCGATAATTTCCCACTCTTTTTCGACTCTGGTAAACTTCTGCACGTCATTTGGCAATAAAAATCAAATCCATCATATACTGTATAAGTTTTGACGCTTTGAGCATTCACATGAGAGCATACCATGGTATAGCCGCGTGAACGAGGTTGCATCAACTAGGTTTTCTGTTTTATGGGGACAAGAAACATTATGATGTACTTGAAAGAATGGGATCAGAAGAGTTTTGGGCGCTGTAGATAAAGACTGATGCTTGGTGCAGTTGTAGTCTGGTTCCAAGGAATAGAAGATTTTTCCCTTCTTAAAGGAGTTTGTAGCCATTCATTATTCCATTTTGCATTCAAATTTTCTTTTTTCTTTTTCTTTTTGTGGGTTTATTTTATTGTAGTTGAGGCTCCATTTGTGTATTGAAGAACTGCCAATCTAAAGTGATTGATAAATGACACGAAACTTCAAGTGATTGCAATTGTTTTTGCTTTTGCCTGCATACATAATAGGTTCTCCTTTTGCACCTGCTAGTCTTCTTATTCCCATTATCGACAAAAGAGGCCGTAAATAGGTTCAAATTATATAAAATGTTTGTCAGGTTTTTGTATTGGGCACCTTCGTGAAATGCCTTGTGGATATATCGGAAGTCAACTGTCAGCTCTTGTCGACATTTGTTTGTTGAGGTTGACCTTGAGTAATCGTCGTAAATAGGATCGTAATCGTCGCCACACGGCTCTTGCTCCTTGTCCTCCTAGAACTATTAGTTCTCGTGGATTTGTTCAACAGATTTAAAGATGTCTTGGACCTACCCAGGCTCCATGTCATCAGGTAGACTTGGAACGTCCCAGTATATCGTCTTTATCGACAAAGGTTGACCACTTGTAGATGCTATAATTTTCACTTTGGTGGTTGTCTACTGACACTGCCACGAGCACTCGAGATTTTATAACTTACATAGAATTTTATAAAATAAATATGTAGGGTGAAAATAATAGGAAATGTGAGAATATTATGTAGAGAATTTATAAAACCAAAATCGAAATGAGATAGAATTTATAGAATTAGAACCGATTAGGGGTAGTATTTATAGATTTTTATTTTTTTTTTTCAATTTTTTTCTGTGTTTTTTTTTAATTCTTGAGCCGTCGGTTCAGGGACTAACCGACGCTTCATACGGTTTAAATGAAATCGGACCATTAGATCTCAACAATCAGTTTTAAAAATTTGATCGTTGTAGGATATGGTTATGGTTCTAAACTGTTTAAAACTTGGATTTTTTTTTCAAAAAAATTAAATTTTGGAAAAAAAATATTAATAATAAGGAGGGGGGCCTCTGGCCGAATCCAGTTTGAACATGAACCGGAACGACAGTTCAAAAAATTTAATATTTTGTGAACCTTGACTGGTCCGTGTAAAACCATAGGCTGGTTCAAGGTCTGCAGTCAATGGGCTTGATCAGGATGGTTGTGGATCAGTTTGAACTGTGGCCATGTATACTGCTATCTAAAGTATTGTACCCTACAAATTTGGGCACAATAGCATGAAATTGTACGTGATACGGAGGTTTATTTGTAAAAAGAAATTAGCTTACGTTGGTCGTGTTTGCAATGCAATGTTGAAGTAAAGTCTAATGCGAGTATTATTTGATCTTCATTCTTATATTCCCAACATATATTTTCAAAACACGAACGATAATTTATAGATTTCTTTGTACATATCAACACATATTTTCTCGAGTTTAAGTGTCAACCTTACATGTTTAGACTGATGTGTTATAAGATTTTTAGATCCGAATTAATCTTTGAACATGTTAAGCTATATGTTTGGTCATCAAATTGGTCAAGTTACATGATTAATGTTGGTCGAACCAGTGGTTGAATTGCTACTAAATTTATTAATATACTTACATACACAGTAGTTTAAATGATAAATTTTACATATAAAAATATTATTTATTGAATATTTGTAATATAAAATGGTCAAATGCCTAAACAATCGATATAATTATTTATACATATCATATTGATGTGTGGAACACCTTAATCTAGTCCAATGTTATCTGAACCGTCCTTTGAACCGCTTCAATCACCTGCAAAACAACGCTGGGGATTTTCTTTAGCTCTCAGCCCGAAATCTTACACCCATAAGAAAGATTGAGATGGTTGACCTCTTCCTAGCCGATCTAAGTCGCTTGATCACCTCTGCTCTGACTAAATCCAACTTCACCGAATCAAAGCTTCCCGTTAAGTCGTTACTCAACAATCTAGGTCCAGGTCAATCGTCTAACAGACTATCCTTTGAGTCTTAACTCGACCTGGTGCTACTCTTATCAGGTCGAGTCTTCCATTCTCAATCTTATTACCATTCAATTGACCTGGTTCTGAATTATCCGAGCCACAATATATCATCCTGAACTAAACCCGCTCTACCCGAGCTACGAGTTGTGTGAGCTCCGATGACTGATATGGTATATCATATCATCTAGTTCCCTCTCCACAATTTGGTCGAGTCGGGGAAACTCAACTTAAGAGTAGGATGAACTGATTTGCCCACCTCTTCAAATTCAGTGTTTATATATAGGAAAAAGCTACTTGTACAACTTTTTTGTACAACATTCGATTGCAACATGATGTGACATAATGTGGGTGGTTGAGATGCAAATAAATATATGTTAGGATTTGAGTTAATGATACTTTTAACTAATGTTGTCAACTAACGTTGTAAACTACAATTGTACATGTAACATTGCCCAAATAAATATCCCTTCACCTAAAGCAATTCTTCAATTGCTACCAATTTTTCTTTTGCTACTCTCCCTGTAATATCATACCCCAACGACTACATCATCTCCGGGTTCGGGACTGCCGTGACTCATTAACATCAGCCCTAAATGTTAATTAATGACCATTAGAACAGTTCTAATAAAATAAAATCTAAGGGTGGTTATGTCATAGTAAATAAATCGCAGCCCCAGCTATTCCCCTTCTTAATGACATTTTGTATCCAGACTCCAAAACTTTAGATGCTTGAAAAAAAAGAATAATTTTTTTAAGGCGTGGTCAAGTCTTATGTGAGGAGAGTTAGTACGTATTTTGGTGAATAAGTCGTGCTCATGGCTTATACAAAATTTTGTTTCTATTATTTCATGTATATAATAATAATGATATCATGGTAAATACTGGACTCATATTAACTTAAAATAAAAAAGACGCACTGAAAATAATTTTGCTCTAAAAAAATAACAATTACATGAAAGAATACATCACAAGTCTCAAAAAAAAAAAAAGTTATCTTGCATTTCTCTTGAAATAGCCTTAATATCATCTTCTTAGAGTACTTGTAAACTGCAACAAGCACAGGACAAATATCAATAACAAAAATATAGTAATTATAGTATTTTTTTTATTTAAAAACACGTACCATTCTTGTTTTGAGATAAATGGACCGTTTGAGATACCGACAAGTGAGGTAAAACAATATCTTCATTCACATTTTCTTGTTGATGGTGCACCGCTGCTCTAGAATTCAAGTTTTCTTGTGAATTAGCCACCAACTGACAAGGCTTCATGACAATAGAGAAACATAAAAAATAAAATAAAAAGACGTTGGAATGTACCATTGCATTTATCAAACACATAAAATATAATGATGTGGCGACATATAATCATCTTCTCCNGCTATATCTCTCAGCTCCGGTGTCCGTTTTTCACCTGTAAGATACCGCCGTGACCGTCTCGACGAGACGAATCTAACGGTGTCCTTGGAATCGAATTTCGAGCACAAATCAGAAACTCAAAATTTCTACAGAAGTTCGGAAAAATTCAAAAGTAAGCTCGAAAGCTTCAAACCAAGCTCTGATACCACTTGTTGTGGCATCATCCCAAGATCATAAACATAATTAAGAGAAAAATAAGTTTCTATTACTCACAACAATAAAAACAAGAGATTTACAAACTCTAAAAAAAAAACTCTCAAACTCTCCACAACTCTACTTGGTTGTGTTTCAACACTTTCAAGGTTGATTGATCACACTCTAGGATGATTTGAATGAATGAAATAAGTACTCTATTTATAGGCAAGATATAGCACACCACCATTGAAAAATGGTGTGTGAATGAAGAAGGTTGGTGGGAATCACTTCTCCATTGGTGTGCTTGAATTTCTTCATGTGTGTGCCATTGAAGGTTTGGTGGAGGCAACTTGGTGCATGGAACTTTCAATTCTTCCCTTTCCATGCAAGTTCTGAACAAGCATTCCTACTATGTCTCTGCATAGCTTAAGCTTATCCAGTGTAACTACTTTTGTTAACATATTTGATGGATTCTCTTTCGTATTGATCTTCATTAGTTTCAACAGCTGTTGATCAATCTTCTCCCGTATCCAATGATACCGAACATCAATATGTTTTGTGCGGGCATGGTACATAGAGTTCTTGCTTAAGTCAATAGCACTTTGACTATCACAATATGCCTTATACTCTTTCTGCTTGATCCCAAGTTCATGGAGATAGCGTTTTAGCCACAACATTTCTTTACCAGCTTCAGCAGCAGCAATATATTCAGCTTCTGTTGCGGATAAAGCAACACATTTCTGCAATCTTGATTGCCAAGAAATGGCTCCCCCTGCAATAGTGTAGACATAACCCGAAGTAAACTTTCGACAATCAATATCTCCGGCTATATCAGCATCAGTATATCCTTCCAAGATTGGATCAGCTCCCCCGTAACAAAGACATAACTTAGAAGTTCTCTTCAAGTATCTGAGAATCCATTTGACTGCCTCCCAATGCTCCTTCCCGGGGTTAGAAAGAAAACGACTCACTACAACCACTGCATGAGCAATATATGGCCTTGTACATACCATTGCATACATCAAACTTCCAACTGCTGAAGAGTATGGCACTGCAGACATCTCCCCCATCTCTTCCTTGGATGTGGGACATGATTTTTTGCTCAACTTGAAATGATTCGCAAGTGGAATACCCACTGGTTTGGCATCACTCATATTGAATCTTTCAAGTACTCGTTCAATGTACTTCTCTTGAGATAGCCATAACTTGTCGCTCTCTCGGTCTCGAGTAATCTGCATCCCAAGAATCTGTTGAGCCTTTCCTAAATCTTTCATATCAAAAGACTTGGAAAGTTCTTTCTTCAGCTGACTTATCTTCTCTGCATCATTCCCAACGATCAACATGTCGTCGACGTACAGTAGAAGAACTATGAAATCCCCGTTTGAGTATTTCTTGATGTAAACACACTCATCTGCAGTAGTCTTCTTATAACCTTGACTCTGCATGCATGAGTCAAACTTCTTATTCCACTGCCTTGGTGCTTGCTCCAGACCATACAGGCTTTTAGATAGCTTGCACACGAGGTTTTCACTTGAAATCTCAAAACCTTTTGCCTGCTGCATATAAATTTCTTCTTTCAAATCTCCGTG